TGTGTGTCTGTGTGTGTCTGTGTGTGTGTCTGTGTGTGTGTCTGTGTCTGTGTGTGTGTCTGTGTCTGTGTCTGTGTGTCTGTGTCTGTGTGTGTCTGTGTCTGTGTGTGTGTCTGTGTCTGTGTGTGTGTCTGTGTGTGTGTATACCTCTGCCAGGTGTAAGAGCTTCAAATGCAAACACATACCATTCTAGGTGGATCTTTACTTACGTAAACATTTTGAGGTGAGGCCTCACCATCATTGTCTATATAGCAGGCTCGCTTTCTTATGCAGTAAGATTTGCCAGGCTGTGTCACTGGTCCTCTACTCATGTTGGCACCCAGTATTGTGGGAAGGGCTTGAGAAAATGGGGCTCCATGTCACATGGGGTCATTGAGAAGTCCCTAAATAGTTCTTTAGAGACTCAGCCAGGTTCATGGTTGACTGAAAGTCAGAAGGAGGGCAGCTGAGGCCCAGGCCAGGGGAGGCCTGTGGCAGCCTTAGGCAGAGATGAGGATAGGAAGGAGGCTGCGGAACAGGGCCATCATCTGAGCCCTGGGACCACCTGGACTCGTGTGCTACACTCCACCTCTCTGCCCCCTAAAACTTGGAGAAGGAGAGAATATGCAGCTTTTCATCTTGGAAACTAGGGGACCAAGTGGCTAATGGCCACTTACACTCAAGAAAGAAAGAACAATCTAAGTCATGTATCTAGCAAGAACCAGTTTACCACTCCTGGTCCTCAGAGGGCCCAAAGGAACAGTAGATGAATGACAGACAGCTCTGGAGAGAGTGTCTGGCTTAGAGTATTTGGGAGAGAGTTCACAACAGGTCTCCCAATGGTACACTGGCAGATACCACTCCCTTGGGAAGAGAAAAAAAAAAAAAAAACGAAGCCCTGCTATTCACTGTGTTGGAGTACTAGTTTCCAAAGTATGGCTGCAGGTCGGGGAAGCCCTTCTGCCTTGAACTTGAGAAACATAGATCCTCAAACCATGACTAAATGAGTCAGATTCTGTGCCCTGGAGAGGCTGAGCAGAGGCCCAGACCAGAGACGGAGTATGTCATGGGGTGGCTGGATGCAGATGGGCCCTAGGTGACTCTGCAACAGGTAGAGGGGGAGAGACCCTGGGAGGAGCTGAGCAGGCCAGCAGCTCCCAGATAAACAGCTCAGCCCTTCTACATGGTGCAGCCACAGGTTGCCAGTTCTGCTACCCCGAGGTCCCTATATTCCCCATCCCTCATGACGATGAATGAATAACCTGTGAGTCTCAGAAGAAGAGACTCTCTGCAAGAAGAAAAGACCTTGACTGTGAAACAGCGAAATGAGCAAGTAGAGAAGTGGGTTCCAGAGGGAGCTCACCAGCAGAGCCAAAACTGCTGCACACAGCTGTAGCCTAGATCCCACCAAGGGAAGAAAGGGCTCTTCAGTAACCATGAGAACAAGGCACCACAGGGAATCCAGGGAGAAGAAAGTGAGCTCCGGGGAGTTAAGAACATCGAGAGTTACACGAAAATCTTAGTAAATGATTTATGAGTTACAATTGAGAAAATCTATCTGCAAGAACAAAAGAACTGTAAAATGGAAAGGGGGGAAATGGGAAGAAAAGATAAGGGCTGATCCCCAGACCTTCCAAGGAGAAAACAGGGAGTCAGGAGTCCATGCATGAGGTGTCAGGTAAAGTTTCTAAGTGGAAGAGGCTGACTTGGTGTGGTGGAGGATGCTCAGAGGTGCTTTGCGTGTATGAGAGCAGGCCTTCTCATGTACACCGTCATGGAACTTGGAGACAGAAAAGACTCAGGAACTTCCAAATAGGAAGACAATATGACATTTAACAAAACACTAGCAGCCAGACCTGCTCAGTACTTGACGGCAGCAGCATGGAGCTATAGGGCCTGAGCAATACCTTCATATTTCTAATGGAAAGAGATTTCCAGCTTCAGCCCTGTGGGTTTCCTTAACGGTGAAGGATTACGTTCACACACACACACAGTTACATTTTCCCACATTTCCTTTCTTAGGATGTTATTTGAGGATGTACTGTAGCAAAATGAAGGAGTACTAAGCCAAAGAAAGTGGGTGTGAATTCTAGGAAAGAGGAGGGAGATCCTAGGGCAAACAGCATCGCCAGAACTGACCTGAGACGCAAAGACTTTCTCAGAGAACGAAGATGGTCAGTACATGATGCTTCAGAGGCCTAGAGAGGAGATGACTCCTCCAGAGGTGGGGGCCTGGTGTAGGTTGCTGTAGGCACTTGTCCCTTGATCCCTGGGCTGCTGCTTCTGGTGGCACGTAGCCACCTTCCCCAACCTGTGTGCCACATACATTTCTCATGTTTGTCTACTGTCCCACAGAAGAGATCAGGAAACATGCAGGTGACTGGCATAGAGGTGTCCAGGTTAGTCAGAAGAATATAAGAAGGAAGCTAAGCAAGTGGAAAAGCAAGACAATGGTTAGCTGTGCAAGGGGCAAAAATAATTCTATTTTT